CGCCCACCCAGCAACCAGGCAGAGAACCTCTTGCTAAAATTTTTGAAGCCCACCCCTGATTTGAAACATAATGTATAGGACTTTGTTCAGCACTACATAACTACGAAAGCACCAACAGACCTGAATTCCTCCTGTTATGACAAGTGTTGTATTCCACTCTTCTCAAAAAAAGAATCCCAGGACCCCATTTTAGGTTCCACAATATTGAACTTTTAACATAATCTTCACCCCTTTTTTCCTTCTCAAGAACCCAATAAGCTCCAACTCTCCTTTCTAGCTTGAGAAGGAATTAAAAAGTGTCACATTCACAGCCAGGGAAGTTTGGAGAGAAGGTCTTCTTCTTTGGTGGAGTCAATTCTTTGACGATCACTTCGTTTCGATTGATCAGCATGGCCGGGGAAATTAACATCCCCTTAAATATTAACTTTATAGAAACGTAAGGTTTCAAATTTGCTATGGCAAATCTAGACAGCATACTAAAAAGCAGAGACATTACCCTGCCAACAAAAGTGCGTATGGTCAAGGCTACGGTTTTCCCAGTTGCAATGTATGGCTGTGAAAGTTGGGCCATAAGGAAGGCTGAGCGCCAAAGAATTGAGGCCTTTGAACTCTGGTGCTGGAGAAGACTCCTGTGAGATCCCTTGGACTGCAAGGCGATCCAATCGGTCAGTCCTAGAGGAGATCAACCCTGACTGCTCCTTAGAAGGCCAGATCCTGAAGATGAAACTCAAATACTTTGGCCACCTAATGAGAAGGAAGGACTCCCTGGAGAAGAGCCTAATGCTGGGAACGATGGAAGGCAAAAGAAGAAGGGGACAGCAGAGAACGAGGTGGCTGGATGGTGTCACTGAAGCAGTAGGTATGAGCTTAAATGGACTCCGGGGGATGGTAGAGGACAGGAAGGCCTGGAGGAACGTTGTCCATGGGGTTGTGATGGGTCAGACACAACTTCGCAACTAACAACAACAAGGTTTCAGGAAGCCTTGGAAGATTTTTAATTCACCTTGCTGCCCAGGGCCGAAATCCTGATATCACCCTAGACCAATGGTTGTCCAACTTTTTCTTAAAAGCCTCCAGTGATGGAATAGCCACATCTCTAGAAGGCAAGCTGTTCAATTGCTTTAATTGCTCTGATGGGCAAGAAATTCCTCCTTATCCCATGTTTGCCTCTCCCACTGTTAAGCTTCCATCGATTTTACTCCCAGCCTCAGGCACTCTGGCAAATAAATCCACTCTCTCTTCCCTTGTGACAGCTTCTCAAATATCAGAAGATGGTTATCGTGTCTTCTTTGCTCCTTTTCCTTTTCAGGTTAAACATGCCTAATGCAAGTTCAGAGAGGAACAATTAATCCCCATGTTCTCAACACTGTACCTTTATTAATGCAGTGCAAAAATTGCACTGGTCCATTTGGAAGCAATAGCACATGGCTAGTTTATGTTCAGTCTATAGCAGAGGTGTCAAACTCAAGGACTGGGGCCTGGATCTGACCTGCGGGGCCACCCTGAAAACAGCGAAGGATTGGCCCACGGTGCTTCTGCCAGTGAAAACAGGCTCCCAAGCTCCATTTTTTGGCTGTCATGGCCTCCTGCAATCCTCTGCCAGTGAAAACGGAGCTCGGGTGGGCCACGTGGCAGATCGCTCGGACCACCACAGGCGCCCCCGACAGGAGTGATGTCGAGCTGCCCACGCCCCCCCTGGCCCCCCGAGGTCAAACACAACCCTGATGCGGCCCTCAGTGAAATCCAGTTTGATACCTAATGGAAAGATTGGCAAAAATGTTTAAAGACAAATCAGCTAGATGTTGGAAATGTCATCAGATACCGGGGTCGTATAACCCTATGTGGTGGACATGTGTAGAAGCCAAAAAATATTGGGCAAAAATTCGTATGTGGTTTGAGAAGATGACGCAGCAACACATTGATTTAAAACCTGAACTATTCCTGTTGGGGATTCTACCAAAAGCTTATAGTAAAGAAAATGTATATTTGATTATTCATGTAATAACTGCAGCTAGAATGGTATTTGCACAAAATTGGAAAAGTGGAGAGATCCCTATGGATGAAAATGTGATTAAGAAAATATTAGAATGTGCAGAAATGAATAGATTAACACCTGCAATTAAAGGGAAGGAAGAATCTGATTATTATAATATATGGGAGTTATTTTATCAGTGGTTAGAGAATAAATATGAAAGTAATATATTGTAAAGTCAAATAAGTTAAGAAGAGAAATGGTACAATAGTAGGTATGTTAAGTATTAGTACCCCGTTTTCCCCCAAATAAGACATCCCCTGATAATAAGCCCAATCGGGCTTTTGAGGGCATGGCAATAAGGCCAAGCGCTTATTTCAGGGTTCAAAAAAATGTAAGACAGGGTCTTATTTTTGGGGAGACATGGTAGTAATATAAGAATAGATATAAATAATGAATATGGTGGTAAATTTTAATTGTTATGACACAAAAATATGTACTCAGACAACAACACACTGTTTAATGAAAGATGAAATGTTTGTATTAAAAGATATATATATATATATATATATATATATATATATATATATATATATATATATATATATACACATACACATACACATACACATACACATACACATACACATACATACACATATATATAAAGGAAATTCAGTTTGACACCCCTGGTCTATAGTCTGTCAGACTAGCCAGATCCTTCTCATAAAATCTACTCCCAAGAGATCTTTCTTCACTTAAGAGTGGGAAAGGTTTTTGTTTATTATATGTGCCTTAAAGCATTTTTTAAACTACACTTGTCTTTTGTCTTTGTTCTTAGTACAGTATTTGTCTTCATAGGGGAGGGGGAAAAAAACCCCCATCAGATAAATGATGAAGATAGGTAAGTAGTTTTCTGCTCTAGACTCACACCAAATGAATAGCACGATTCTCTCTTTCTCTCCTTGCAACATAAAGGAACCATGAGAATGAATTTGTATGACTCAAATTGTGCAAAGGAACAGGAAATGCAGTGGCGAACAACAATTTGAAAAATTAGATTAATACAAGTAGGCAACAAGCTTCTGTGTGCTTGAAAAAGAAAACTAAATGGAGCCCAACGAAATGAAAACTAAAACTAAACGAAATCTTACTTGAAGGAAAAATATGAAAAAAGCAATGTTACTTGACCGCTCAGAGGTAACTTATGTAACTGTAGCCGAATTTTTAAAATGTAAAACATTTCTTTGGCATTGTTGGGTGACTTAATGAATGATGCAATAGCATCACTTCCTGGATAGTCTCTCCTATTATTAATTCTTCATTCATGCCTTTTTGAACCCTTGTCTCAAAATATGTACTGGTTATTGTTTTCTAACTTATAAAGGAAAAAAATATATATTGCTAGAAAGATATACAAAGAAAAGATGGCCTCCTTTAGATCAAACTTGCAACTTCTATGCCCAGACTATAGAGCTGTGAGAATTCACACAGTTAATTTCATACCAGGACAGATGTATATAAGGGTATTAATTTGCATAGCATTGCACGCAGGAAAAAAAAATAGCATTAATTCAATTATCAGACAATGAAGAAAGGCACATAACTTCTCTTCAGATCACCTGGAATCTCAAGCAACCTTGCCATCTGCTAGCTACTCAAGCCAGCTTTTAAAACCCCATTGATACCTACAACTGGTAGCTGAACTATAGTGAACATTGAAGACTGAAAACAACTCATTACAGGTTGTAACTAAAGTTACATTGATGTAACAAATCACCCAGGGAAATATTTTTAACAATCTGAAAAAATACATGCACAAATATTTGTGATCTAGCTTATTTATATTTAGCACTAGATTTTCAGAAATCAAAACACCCAAATATATCGCTTTCATAATGTAAGAACTGTAGAAAACATAACTAATTTTTCTGCTACCGCAAGTACACCAGATACTTTTACAATTCTTAATTGGCACAAATATATAGTGATTTTTTTAATGCTAAAAAAATCCCCCTTCCTGGTTCTGAGATGGCACAAGAAGCTTTCTCAGATGTGGACAAGTACACAAAGTCATTTGGCAGTCCTGGAAACCTGTGAATAAGATTTTTTTTTCCTTCCTCCCAGAAGAACATTTTGAATTCTCACTGGATTCATCTTGGACTTGGCCAGTGGTGAAATCCAAATTTTTTTACTACCGGTTCTATGGGTGTGGCTTGGTAGGCGTGGTATGGCTTGGTGGGCATGGCTTGGTAGGCGTGGCAGGGGACGGATACTACAAAATCTTTATTCCCTCCCCACTCCTGGGGAAAGGATATTGCAAAATCTCCACTCCCTCCCCACTCTGGGGCCAGCCAGAGGTGGTATTTGCCGGTTCTCCGAACTGCTCAAAATTTCCGCTATGGGTTCTCCAGAGCCTGTCAGAACCTGCTGCATTTCATAATCTTGAGGCTTTTCAAAAGGTACTGGATGTGATACAGATTGCAGCAGTTTTACAAACGCATGCAGTGGGACTAAGGTCCCTGCCCCTTTATGAAACATCCTTTCTTTAACCATAGCCATAGTTTTATGACGCCAGCTGACCAGAAAAAAAAAAAAAGAGCTGCAAAGCCCCTCCAAGTATCCAAGTTTCTTTGTTAGCAGTGCCTCTGAATCTGTTCCTTCCATGGGACAGCCCAAATGCAAGAAGATCCACAACTCAAGACTGTTATCTGACGATGGCATCTATCATTGCACCTTATATAGCACGAGCCCCAATCACTAGCAAAGCAGCATAGACGAAGGATCATTATTTTGGCATAGGAGAAGCTAAGAAAATACCACTACCTCCGCCCTCCACCCACCCACCCACCCACCTACAGCCTGTGGCGATGCTTTGGGTCCTATGCCCCCTTCCACACCCCACGAATATCTGCCACAAGGATATAATAACCCCCCCAGGAAATCCACAAAGTGGGTGAGGATGCAGCAAAGCAGGAAAAAGAAACCATTTTTTAACCCATTCTTCTTGCAACATATTTCAACTCACCATGGTTTGTTGGGAAACGTCCATCCAAGATTAGCAAGATCCCCAATCCTCGGATGGGATTTTATTTATTTATTTATTTTTGGCCCCAGCTCAGGTCATGGTTTCTCTGGGGAGGGTGGAAGGACTTTCTTCCTCCATGAGGAAGAAAAAAGAAGAATAAAATAAAAATAAAAGCCCCCCCCCTTTCAAGAAAGCTACCTATTCCTAGCCTGTGGAGGCTTCAGGGACCCATCAAGACAGGCAGGCAAGCAGCAGGCAGGACAAAAAAATAAAAATAAAAATAAATAGGGATTTATTTATTTAAAAAAGCCTCCACTTTGGCCCAAGGTTTCATTTTAAAAGGAGCCCATGCAATAAAATAAAAGGGGGAGAATAAATGGGTGGGAAGGAAAGGGGGTGGGCCTATAGGGGGGCTCCTCACATGGGTGGGGGGGCAGGGGCTGGGTCCAGGGGCCTCCAATGGGTGAGGGGGGTCTTGGGGGGGGTCAGAATAACGGGATTTTTTGGGGAGGGGGCTCTGCTTGAAAGGGGGGGCTCTGAAGGGGGGGACCTGTCTTCTGGGGTGGAGGGGGGGAATTGGCCTAACTGGGTGAGTGGGTGGGTGAGTCCTGCGCCTGGGAATCTCCTCGGTAGCCCCCTCCTCCTCCTTCCTCGCAGCCCCTGCCTTGGCAATCGCCCCCAAATCCGGACGGGCACTTCCGCCTCTCTTTCTTCTTCCTCTCCAGCGGAGCGGGTGGGGAGGGGAATGGCCACGCCCACGGCCACGCCCCCTTCACGGGCTCGCCCTCCCTTCCTCTCCGCCCGCCTGCCTGCCCGCCTGCCTAACTTCCGGAATCCAACCGCACCGGAAGCGGACTCCCCTGCGGGCGCGCGACCCGGGCCTCTCTGCCGGAAGTGGCGGTGGCGCGGCGAAAGAAGGGCCGCGCGCGCCTAACGCTCGCTCGCTCGCGAGACGAAGCCCCGCCCCCAAACCCGCCCCCATCTCTCTCTCTCTCTCTCTCTCTCTCTCTCTCCCTCCACACCGCTCCCTCCAATGGGCATGCGCAATGGGAATCAACATCCCCCCCCCCGCCAAAATAGAGAGCGGGAGTTTCACCTTTCAAGCCTCGACTTAATTCGAGATCTGTTTATTGCAGAAGAATAAAAACGACACCTCTTTTTAATTAAAGGATTAAAATAAACAAAGTGATAAATGAATAAATATAAAAAATAAATATATTCATTCATTTTTTAAAAAAAAATTAATAGAATTAGTCAATGTATGCATTGATTTAATTAAATTACATTTAATTAAAATGTCTTTAAGATTAATTAAATGTAAAATGTGATCCGGACTAAAATTAGTTAAAACAATTAAAATATTAATAATAGCTTCTCAGTTTCAGTAACATGACAGTGTGATTAAATGATTAAATTTTTGCATTGCACCTACTGTTAAGACTAGAAAAATTAAATATATTCAGTAATTATCTTCCCGAGACTAACATTAAAATATTGATTAAAAATAAGTCTCAATATTATAGTATTAATAAGTATATTAACTAAAATGTTGATTAAAAGTCTATCAAATATTAAAAATCATTTTAAAAAAAAGCAGGGGCTTGTAAATAGCCTTCATGTTTTTATAAATATCTGCCCTTATGTTTGATTGTGGAAAATGCCACAAAATTCCACTCACCCACCTGTGCAGAAAGCTGAAAAACTTTGTCTTTTCAGCTGACCCAGAAGTCCCTTTTATTATTTATTATTTGTTTCAATATTTTTGCATTATGAATTTAATATTGAAAATGCTATCAAAGCTAAACATTAAAATATTGACAAATCAGATTAAAAATTACCCTTGGATTGAATGGAAAACTGGGATGCCAACCAAATAAATGAACAATAAACAAACAAATAAATAAAAAACTTCAATGGGTTTTACAGGTAGTCCTCTCTTAATGTCCCTAATTAGGACTGGCAACTCTGTCACTAAGCAGTATATTTACAATGAAATAAATAATAAACATGCACTAAAATTACTGCAGAGACTTAGACATTAAAAAAAGCAGGGGCTTGTAAATAGTCTTCATGTTTTTATAAATATCTGCCCTTATGTTTGATTGTGGAAAATGCCACAGAATTCCACTCACCCACCTGTGCAAAAGGCTGAAAAACCTTGTCTTTTCGGCTGACCCAGAAGTCCCTTTTTAAAGCCTGTACGTCCATTTTTATTTGTTGATTAATTAACTTATTAAATGTGTATGGTGTTAATCTCACCACCAAGCGACTCTTTTACAACGCACCTTGCTTTACTTACATTAAACAAATAAACCTTCTGACCAAAACCAGATTCACAAACCAGATTCATACTTCCAAATTTCACCCTCAATCACCCATGGAAAAACGAAAACCTGCTACCCAAAGGTTGATCCACCTAGCCCCTAAAACAGCAATTCAAAAATGTACAAATAAACAGATATAATCCCAGGATTATGTGAAATCATATTTGCCCCTGGCAAATGCAGTATAAAAGAATTGGAAGAGGATTTCATCACAGACACCCTGTGGTTGTTCCATGAACTGGTTTCGATTTGCAGTTGAAAAATGATACAGATGCTGGTTTCACAGGAATTGCTAGGACTAAATCTTTGCATCCATTCCCCAAGGCAACTCAAAGAATAACTGTGCCACGAAGAGGGTGAGAGAAATTTAGCATATTGTTTAGGAGGTGGCCGTGACGGCAGGATTTTGCAGCTTTGCAGGCATGAAAATGTCATCAGTTTCCCAGATGGAGAAGAACACCCTGTGCTGAACACAGAGATTGCCATCAGTCTTCCCTCTCTTATTTTTCCATTTTTTATGCTGGGACACAGTTGGAATCCCAAGGCTACAAAACTTTAGTAAAATAACTGAAATTCAGAGAGAGAGAGAGAGAGAGAGAGAGAGAGAGAGAGAGAGAGAGAGAGAGAGAGAGAGAGAGAGAGAATGAATACTATTTTTTTTTAAATTTTATTTATATGCCGCCCTTCTCCGGAGACTCAGGGCAGCTTATAATGCGCTAAACAATAGCCTTCATTCTTTTGTATATTTATACAAAGTCAGCTTATTGCCCCCACAACTGGATCCTCAATTTACTTACCTTAGAAAGGATGGAAGGCTGAGTCAACCTTGAGCCTGGCAAGATTCGAACCTGCAGTAATTGCAGGCAGCTGGTCTTAATAACAGGGTGCTTTAGACCACTGTACTACCAAGGCTCTATTTAACATGAAGTCAGACTTATGAAATGTTTGAGAGACTGTGATTCTCTGATATTCCAAAGAGGAAAATAGCAAAGCAGATAGTAGAAAAACAACTGTTCATGGGGAAGCCATGAAGTTAAGTAAACTGGGTTCTGAGTAGAGTTAGCAGTTCTAAGGGAACCAGTTTTGTGTAGTAGTTAAACATACAGAATAACAGAGTTGGAAGGGACTTTGGAGGTCTTCTAATCCAACCTCCTGCTCAAGCACTAGATCCTATACCATCCCGGACAAATGGCTGTCCACCTTGACTTAAAAACCTCCAGTGATGGAGCACCCACAACTTTTGGAGGCAAGCTGTTGCCCTGATTAATTGTTCTCACTGTCAGGAAATTTCTCCTTATTGGATTAGAAACTAAGAGACTGAGTTCTATAAGTAGTCCTTGAGATACAACTGTAATGGAGCCTAGAATTTCTGTCAATAAGTCATGATGGTCTTAGGTTGAGGCACCCATGCAACTGATCTTATTTTGTGACTTTTATTTGTGACAGTCGTAAAGCGAGTCCATTCATTCCACTGGAAACCAACAATCATGGTAGTCAATCATCGTATGACTGTGGAATGATTCAACTTCTGAAAATAGTAACCCCTGTTACTATGCTCTTGTTCCTGCAATGACCAAAGGTCAAGACTGACTCAATTGACTGCAACAAAACAAGATGACCACAGGATGGTAGCAGTTTTCTGTGTCTCTTTACTGCCATCTAATGGTACACTGATATTTTGCAATAATCCAACTCTTGAGCTATTTTCCCCAACTGCAGCATAGTACTCCTGAAAAAGATCAGATTTTCTGTCTGGTCTTGTTGGCATGCCTATTCTCTCCAAATTGCATGTCGAAAATTTCAAGCGGATCCATTGGAATCCAGACAAGCGAGTCATGGGGCTAAGAATAGGATTCAAAAAAAGCATCCAAGAGGATCAAAGGGGATAATTCTGGCTTGGCAATTAAAAACGATTTTGCAATGAAAAAGGATTATATTTTTTATAAACGTTGATGCCTAAGTAGTCCAATCATTAAAAGCCTAGAGGAACATTCCATTAAAAAGAACATCCCACAGTTGTTCTGGAAACTGGTTAAAAATTAAGCATCAGATGGACAACACCTTTTATTGGCAAGAGTTTCAAATATGGTCTGGGAACAAGACTATCTGGCTATTTTTAACAAAGCCATGTCAGGTCCCACCCCTAAACTATACAATTTTGGACTGCACAATCATAGTTCTCTTCCTTACTTCCTACAACACATAATCCATAATATGATATGTTTATTCTTGGCAATGTGTAGATTCAGACACTATTTATTTATTCATTTATTTATTGATTCGATTTATATGCCGCCTTTCTCCGGAGACTCAGGGCGGCTTACAATGCATTAAGCAATAGTCTTCATATTTTTGTATATACCTGCTTAGTAGGGCTTTCGACCCCCCCCCCAGCGGTGTTCTTTTTTTTATACAAAGTCAGTTTATTGCCCCCACAATCCAAGTCCTCATTTTACCTACCTCGGAAGGATGGAAGGCTGAGTCAATGATGAGTTAGAATCCATCGTTTATGGCTCAATGTGCTCTCCTTGAGTCCATTCAATAGTGGTTAACTTAATAATCTAGCTAGATAAGTCATGTGAACCAGGTTGGTCAGTCAATCAGACATGTCCCACTCAACAGGTGTTGTTGTGTAGACAACATTGGGGAAGGAGTCTCTGTCTGCAATCTTGTGCTTCTGAAGGAGACAGTTAGATCTCAATGCATCCAATGAATAAAGCTACTCTAAATTTGTGCAGTTATTCATTAAACTGATAGGTGGTTCAAGATGGGGGGGGGAAGCATTTTTCCAGAAAATGTGTCTGCACAGGGATGCTTGGAGAGAGGAGTTGAAAAAAGTCAACTGCACAATCAAAGACCTGCCCCTGTTTTACACATATCGAACATGTATACAGAACTTATGAAACACATGAGACCAAAAAAATCCATGGTACCTTAATCTTATATTTGGTAACTGCAGGAAGACTGCTCTGTGTTCAATGTTGGAAATATTCCCCAACGATAGTAGGAAGTTATGGTTAGTGAAAGTCATGGAACATTGGAACTGGGCAGAGATGGCAAAATTAACAGCTCTCATTAGAGGAAAGATACTAGTGAACTTCAACAGTAACTGGAAACCTTTGGTGGACATGTTGGAAGAAATGTCCAACTTGGTTCAGTTCCAAGTGGGAAGAAAGACACTGGAAATGTTAAGTCGTGGGCTCAAGAATGGACAGGACACGCAGTAGAATCTAACACTCTTTATTAGCTCCGTAATCGCAATGGAGAATCCTAGCCACGGCAGCTCCCTTTATAGTTAGGAGCTGTCCACGGCTTCAGCCACTGACGTTATTCTGAATTTCCCGCTCACGTCCCTGATTGGTCCGTTCAAATCTGCCATTCAATACTCAACAGGAAACATGGAGACTGCTTGGAAAGATGGTTTAATGGTGGACAGGACCATGTGGTTTTTGGGTCCTGGGCAAAATGAGCACATGATTTAGAGA